TTATTTATTTTGGTACCAGGGATCAAACTTAGGACCTTGTGCTTTTGCTTGTAAGGCAGGCAGTGGCACTAGGAGCTAAATCCCTGGCCCTCTTAGTCTGTTTATTTATATTTTAGGTTTCTTGTATAAGACAAAATGTAATATTTAACTTTCTGAGTCTAGCCTATTTTTCTTAAGGTGATGGTCTCAAGTTCCATCCATTTTCTGCAAATGACCTGATTTCATCTTTCTTTGTGACCAAATAATATTCCCTTGTGTATATATACTACATTTTCTATGTTCATTCATGTGTTTGTGGGCATCTAGGTTGTTCCTGGAGCTTAGCTATTGTGAATTGTGCCACTGTAAACACATATGTATGTGTCACTATAACATTATATCTTTAATTCTTCTGAGAACATACCCAGAAGTGGTAATGCTGGGTGATTATTTCTATTTCTAGTTACTTTCAGGAATTTCCATATTGATATCAAGAGCTATACTAGTTTACCTTCTCACCAAAGAAACAGGAGAGTTTCTTTTTCCTCCAGATGTTCATTTGTTGTATTTTGTGTTCTTCTTCTCTTTTTTTTGTACCGAGATCAAACTCAGGATCTTGTGCTTGCTAGGCAGCTAAATCCCGAGCCCCATATTTTGTGTTCTTAATGACAGCCATGCTGATCGGGATAAAATGAAATCTCAAAATTGTTCTGATTTGTATTTCCCTAATGGCTAACGATGTTGAATATTTTTAATGTATCTATTGTACTTCATATACCACTTGAACTTTTTTTGAGAAGTGTCCATTCAGTTCATTTGTCCTTTTTTTGATTGACTCATTTATTTTCGGAGGGTTAGCTCTTCAGTTCTTTATATATTCTTGGTATTAATCCTCAGTGGGAAGAGAAGTTCTCTGTGCTGCTGAGGCCTAAGCCACTCCCTTGTGCATGCTAAGCACATAATCTAACACTGAACTACATCCCCGGGCCCCAATCATTCTCTTAAAATCACATGTTCTTCTCTTATTCATTGTAGCAAATATACTACTCTTCTCACGGATAGTGAAAACAGGCTATTGCTCTTCCCATCCATGTACGTATGGTCTATTTTACAGTGTTGTTTAGAAAGAATGATTATGTTCACATGTATTCTTTTTGTTGATATTTTATTAAACAAATGTATAGCAGGAACCCAAAACAATAATTTTCTACAGTTCTATTATCTAATTAGTTGTTTTCACATGTCCAATTGCATATTCAAATCTATACAAATGTAAATAGTATTTAGTATGAAACACTTGTATTCTACATTTAACGATTAGTATTTTGTTGCGGTCTTCTTTCTTTTGTCCTTTTTCTTCTCTCACACTGGGTGTTGGTCTCTCCACATTTTTTTATATGTTCTGACCATCTTACATAATAGTTATATAGAATCTTTGGAGGGGAGAATTATTTTCTTTTAAGAAAAGGATCATACTATTTACATGTTTTCTTGGTTTTTAAAAATTCTATTACTAATATCCCACTAGATGAATAGATACAGGTCTAGTGCTTTGAAATATTACTGTTAACATTCCATAATTATACATTTTATGTATACATTTTATATTCTTTTTGTTATTTGAGCATGAGATGTTAAAATGTTATTTACATTTTGGCCACCTTAATCTTCTAGGAAACGTAATAGAAGAGTGGAAGTGGTCCAACTGAGTGAAGTGATGAACACTATGCTAGAGAGGGCTGGTGTAGAAAATGAGGAATATGCAGGACCAACCAA